TGGCATGAGGAGGGACGCTGAAAAGAAGGGAAGCTTAAGAAAGCTCAAGGGAGAGCTTTTTAAGGGGAATTAAAAGGGAAGACTTGAAAAGAAACCTTCGAGAATTCAAGGTTCTCCCTTCTGAAGCTTCCCTTCAAGCTCCTTCAAGCCCCCCTTGAGAATGTTCGTCCGCCCTCCGACGCGTCCTGCTACTCCCCTGCAGACCGGCGTCCAAGCCGAGAGAGCGCGAAGTAGAACTTTCGGATGCTGAAAACGGAGCACTGACTTTGCTCCGACAAAACGCAGGATGTCCTTTCCAAGAGCTTCATACCCTTTCTGAAAGCTCTTTCTCATGGATGCCAGATTCCGACCAGAAAGAATTCAACGTTCTCTTGGCCAACAAGATTGCTAGCCTGGTTGACCGATACACCGGCCTCAGATGTTCAAATCTCTGTTACCAAAATGCTTTTCTTACGTGTCTCCTGTAGATGGTTATTTTTTGCGCAAGGCGGAGACGCAGCGCGGGATCTACGCTGTTTGGCGTACTGCTTGGCAGGATAGTCGTTTTCTGCATTGGTTGCTTTCAATAAATCGTCCAGCCAGGCTTATGGCGCACCTGGAATAAGTCCTCTCGAAGGAGAATCCTTTTTTTCACCTTTGTTCACTGCAATCTTGCAGCGGCCGCTCTATCGGCCACCTAAGAAGACCCGTGAAACTCAAAAGTGAGATGGCTGGAACCCGAAGCTCACAAACCAGCCATGCGGCATTTCAGGCGAGAAGGGCATGAAGCTTCCCTGCAAGACACCCACTTTCGGCGACAGCTTTGCTGATGAAAACTGGAAATAGAAGTCATTGGCATGGAGGTGGTGGCACCACATCCATACTGTTTGACAGGTGATCATTCTCCACTCCGTCGGAAGAGTAAGGCATGACAATAAAGCATCAGTTCAGCAGCAATGTCAAGGTTCACACTTGTGGCCGCCGATTGTTATCAGTGTACCACAGTTGGTGCTTCGATCTTCGACTTCACTCTAGGTGCCTTTGGTTTTTTGATCAGAGGAGCTACTTTGATTTCTCTTGTTTCTGTCCCAAGACGTTGACGGAATTCCTTAATGCCCTGGGTTCGACCCATGCAAAAGTCGGTGTGAAAGGAAAGATCTTCGCTTCTGGCTTCACGGTCCCAGGTCTGCGCATTGATCTTGGAAGGTTCGCAGCTGGGAAGATTGTCATGGCAAGCCATGGATGATCCCTCTAAATTTTACGAAGGGGCGCTTTGAGAAGGGGAGCTTCTCAAAATTCAATTTGAGGAAGGTTAGGAGGAGGGCGGAGGGGCTGTTTTAAAACATGGGCCGGTTCAACAGCCATGGCATTTGCATTAGGTACTGCCGGTTAAACTCGGAGCAGAGCATGCGACTCCTGCTATGCATTCACCCCAGATCCTCAGATTTGAGCATGAGAGTGAAAACATGTGAGCCAATTGCACTGATTGCGATTTTAAAAATATTTTGATGATGGAATACTTGAGTGCACTAAGTCAAGTGGTTTGAGTTCCTTTACTTGTGAAAAAGAAAAATTTTGATAGACAATTTGAGTGATTGGTATAATCCTCACAATTCTGGCAACAGAGAATTTTCAGCACGCTGACTTTCCATTCTGCCTAAAATTGTGACAGCCTCTTGGGAAAGGGGCGGGATTTTACTAATGACCTTGTTACAGGTCTTCCAAAACTCATGTTATGGATTTTGAGTTTGAAGAAATTGTCACTTCCCTGTGGATGTTTGACATGTGCCATCTTGTTGTCCGATGCATGAATATCAGCTGCTCAGATGTGTCACGAAATTTTTCTTCCCACCCACACCACCCAGACAAAATTGGGCGATGGGGGGCGGAATCGCTGGTTGAAAACATGCCGGTTCAACACCCGTGGCATTTGCATTAGGTACTGCCGGTTAAACACTCGGGTGCGACTCCTGCTATGCATTTACCCCAGATCCTCAAGCTTGAGCATGAGAGTGAAACATGTGAGCCGATTGCACTGATTGCGATTTTAAAATATTTTGATGATGGAATACTTGAGTGCACTTAGTCGAGTGCTTTGAGTTCCTTGACTTGTGAAAATATTTCCTGAGAAAGAAAAATTTTGATAGACAATTTGAGTGATTGGTATAATCAATTTTGGTAGAAAACCTTATGCAACAAGATGGGGGCCTGCGGACGCAACAGCGATGCCGCACTGTTTGCGAGACGGTTCTCTGAAACAGCAACGGTTTCGAAGAATCCTTCGCTTCGGATTGGAGGTTCCAGGTGGGGATATGCTTTTTGCCATCAGGCATCAATATGGAGCTGCTTGGAGTTCTTTGGGTTTCTTCATCTGCATGGGGTATGCTGGATGTTGCTTTAAGATCATTAGAAATAGCAACGGCGCTATAACCATCCCTGTTGGTGGGCTTCCGAGTGAACTACGCGCGACACTCTGAGTGACTGTCTGAGTGGATTAGATCCCCTTGTCCCAGTTTTTCAACATTGATCTGACGTATGTGGTTTGTAATCTGTGATTACTTTTCATAATCTTAAACAATGCGATGTAATTCTATTTCTGGCCCGACATCCTGCTAGCCGTAAACCTTGAACCGTCGATCCTACACCCAAAACTAACATTCTCGTGTGACCACTCGCCTTTTGCAATGCGCAATGGCACGTTCTACATATGTGGGCTGCCGAGCCGCACTGAATGACGCGGTGATGTGGCAAAAAAATTGAAATCGTTTTTCGTCAATGTGCAAGCAATTGTCAACATTGCTCAAACATCCACAAATCTGCAAGATTCGGGCTGCAAGCGTCGCCTGTCGGGTTTTGCGTTGTTGATGGCTAGAATATGGAGCGCTGCATCCATTGCATCCATCAAGATCAAACGCAAAATTCGTAAATGATGCGCTTCTTCTCCTCCGGGTTGCGACAGACAACTGTAGGAGCCTTGTTTTGTTGCGTTACTGTTGATCTCGGCGTCAAAGCCTGCTTAGCTGGCCGCCAATGTGGATTGGTTGTTTCCAAGTTCGGTGTTGTTGTCTTGTAGTACACAGGCTAGACTAGATCGAAACTTATCAAGCCTCTGGACATTTGTTGATGGAGTTCGCAGCCTCACTAGTTATGCGTGGCGCAGTGTAGCAATGCCATTTTTGCCTTATCGAATTAACACCATTTTACTGGCGATAAAGGTACAGCGAGTACAACTGTACGGTGTGAGCTTGTCTCTTGCAATGGCCACATAGTGTTACAGGTCCTTGAGAACGAATAACAGAAAAGTGGGTTGATGAAGATGCTGTTTGCGCAATTGTTCTGTTGGGGTCCGTGGTCACCAAGTTGTCAAGCCGAACCAACGCAGACATTTGAATGTTGCCAGGATCATGTTTCTGTGAAGCTGAAGCTGTAGCTTTTGTTGGGGGATGCAGCTGTTTGCACGCCTCATGCAACATGTTGATAGTGGGATTGCTTGCATGATGTGCATGCAAAAGTATACACATATGGTGGAGTAGTCCTTTCACGCCTGCATACTTCATCAGCAGGACAAGGAGTTGTGACGTAAGCAACCAGGTATGCAAAGTTTCATTGTTACAGGACCCCCGGCAAAAAAGGGCGGTTTGACAATTTTCTGCGTTGCAATTCGCCTTTGCATTCTGCGTGCACTTCTCGATTATGACGGTGCAGACGGAGGCGCGCCCAGAGGAGTTGCTCGTGGCATCCAATGCGTTTCGTGCCAGGAACGTCCTGAGGAAAAATTGGAGAAACCATGCGCTGCTGTAGCGCCCAAAGAGGAGGCGCTGAAGCCAAAGGTGGTAGGCTCGGAAGTTGGAAAGAACATGTTCAGCGTCAGATAATCACAAGATCACTATTCAGGACATGGACAGATCCACTTCAGATGATGATGATGAAGAAGCTGATGGATATCAGCAGAAGGGCGTGAGCATAGACGATCTCAGCGACGACTGGGTTGAAGCTCAGATGAAGGATGTCACCGTGGCCGCGGCCAGGATGCAGGGAGGGTTGATTTGATTTGCATGCCAACTATGCATCAAAAGAAGAGATCAGTTGCTGAAGCTAGCAATTCCTCAGGTCATTGGAAACGTGGACAGCGGAAAATCAACCTTGGTTGGTGTCCTCACCAAGGGTGGGCTAGACGATGGAAGGGGCCTTGCACGAGCGAAGGCGGCATTTGACACGCAATGGAGTCCTTGCTCTGTGCTGGCACTTCCTGCTGCAGGTCTTTAACTTTTCGCATGAAGCAGCCAACGGAAGGACGAGCAGTATCGCACAGGACATTCCTGATTCCTGCCTATTTCTGATTCATGTTGCTGCAGCCCTCTTATGCGTATCTTGGCATTGGCATCTGTGGTAATTTGGAGGAGATCATGGGTTTCTCGCAGAGTGGCGAGCAAGTCGGGGGCTTTTTCCAAAGCTTGCGCATTGGTGCTGGAGCATTATCAGTGTTCAACCGTTCACCTTACAGGTGCTGATTGATCGAATGGGCACTTCCACGGCCAACTCACGAAACCAAACCTGGCAGCAGGCAGGGAATCGCGAATGTTGAATGTTGTCGCAAGTGAACAGGATTCAACAGAGAACTCCCACATAAGATACATTGACAATTGACCGGACCTAAAGTGCAGGTGTTGCATTTTAAGTTGCAGCTTCGCGTTACTCGCAAAGGTGGTGAGCCAATCTGAGAGACTCGTGACCTTCAGCGACTTGTGTGGACACGAGAAATACCTGAAGACTACCATCTTTGGCCTGGTAGGGCAATGCCTTTGCCATAGCAATTCCCTCCTGTTCCAACTTGCGTGTTCAGACGAGTGGTCTGAAGCATGCTTCAGGTCCAGACTACACGATGATCATTGTCAATGCCAATGCGGGCTTCCAGAGGATGTCTCGCGAGCATCTGGGCATTGCGCTTGCGTTGCGCATTCCCTTCTTCATTGTGATCACGAAAATTGACATTGCACCTCAGCCCCCGGTCTGCAGCTCTGCGTTGCTTGCTTTTGCAAAGGCACGCATCACCACGCCTAGCACCAAAGCATGAAGGCGTACGCACATTTGAGGAACGTGTTCGACGAGAATCTCGCGCAGCTGCATAAAATCGTAAAGCTTGTTTCTGAGATTTTTTGCACTTCCATAGATTTCCTTGCTCATTCTTCTGAGAAGGTCAAATGCTGTGAAACGGCAACCTCTCGTGGTGACAAGCGAGGACCACTTGGAACAGGCAGCCACCGGTATCTATGGCAAGCAGGCCAAGCCCCAGCAACTTTCCTGTGCCACGGAAGACAAGCCTCCATGCAGGTTTGCCCCATGTTCTGCATCTCCAATGTTACGGGCGAGGGCTGGGAGCTGACACTTTATTGTTGTCTCCCAGCGCTTGCTGCAATTTTGTTTCGTCGCCGTCAGGGTCAGTCATGCACCATTCAAGCAGGCCTTCCGCTGCTTCGTTCCTTCTTGCAACGGCTGCCATCCAGATTGCAGGACCGGAGAGGTGATCATTCTTAATGCTGGACCCTCTTTTGCAAAGGGCTCCCCCAAACGAATGACTGTTATCTTTCATATTCAGCCACCCCCTAAATGTGCCGCATAACTAAAATCATAAGGGCCCTCAGAATCTGTATAAGTAGTGTTGATGCAAGCTTTTGAGTAAAACTAAATTAGATTAGGGAATCCAATTTTTTTGATTTCGGGCCCTGTAAAGTTTTTGTATTCCGACCCCCCCCAACCAATACAAGATCCTGAACAATTTTCCCGAATGCTCTATCATTCCGACCCCCTCGGCAAAAGCGGGTCCAACTAGATGTTGCCTGTGTCTGGTCTTTGTGGCATGGGCCTGGGATGGCCTGGGCCAGCTCCGAGGATAGCGGGCTGTTCAAACCGCCGAGCAGTCGTGCAGCCCAGTTCGTCAAACTTTGTCAAGTCAGAGTTGGAGGGGCATTGGCAGCTCGCTTGATTGATCCTAGCATGCTGTTTGCTTGAAGCTCAGGTCCAGCCGAATTTCACATTGACTCAATATATGTTGTGCCTGGCGTCGGTCTCGTCGTTGGTGGTGTGGTGCGTGCCCGCCTCTGATCATGCTGGAAACCTTCAGCCCTTGTTTTCTGTTGCGCTATGGCAGGATCAGGTCGCATCTGTCCCGGTCAGCATCTACTTCTTGGTCCGGACAAGGTTAGCCAGCCGGGTGCCCAGAAGAGCAGAAAGTCAGCTCTCTCTCTCTCTCTCTCTATCTCCCTCTCTCCCTCCTCCTCTGTCTTTCTTACAGAGGAGTACATATATAGTGTATAGATGAGGTATCCATCCCAACACCTACCTGTTACATGATGGGCCAACAAAGGTCCACTCCTTAAGACCCTTCCACTTGCTCTCCTCTCACAACATGTTATATGAACATTATCATAATCAAAGTTTATCTCTCTGCTCTGAAAATTTCTGATAGAAATTTGAGAACACATTGAAGCATGGAGTTTCAATACTTGGAATCCAAGATTCCAAGATTCTGAGAAGCTGGGAGACTCTTGCTTGGAATCTTGGAATCCTTCGCCATCACATGCCGAAATAGCATGCCATGACTCATAGACCGAGTTTATATCATGCCTTGCATATAGTCCTGAATCTTGCATTAGCACCGTGTCACGTTGTCTTTCAACATTTTGTTCTGTTATGTCACAGAATGCCTAAAGAAGTCAGTGTGCAAAGTATAGCTGCTAGCCGATGCCAAGCTTTCACCTGCCAGCAAACCGGTCTTTGCCCACACTCAACATGAAAGACATTGGATTTTGGGGACTGATACTGCGCCTCGGAGGTTTGCGGAGCCGACAGTGTAAGCAATTCTGGAGGTTGAATGTGCTGTACTGTTTCTGCAAAAGTCGTTCAAGGTAACATGTGGAGACTCTTTGGCTTGGATAATTCTAATGTGCATGGGGGGGACATTCGGCACCGGATCGCAAAGGAATTATCTTCATGGTCTATTTATGGTCTACACGTTTAACATCTTTTAACATTTTTCAGCGCACCAGGCACTTTCGGTCGAATACACCTCCAATACTGACCAAGGAGCCCCGGCGTTTTGGAAGCCTTAAACCAACCATGAATAATCCATCAGAGACCACACATTCCGTGAAGAACGCCCACTAATTTGTGGGATTTTGGGGTTTTGTCATGGTTTCCTTACGATTTGGGCATCGTTTGGTCTTAAAAGTATCTGGCAGACCCAACATTGCTGAAACCGTAAAAAGCGAATGATCAAGAAAATCACGAGCAATCCGTCAACAGCAACAAATCTATGGAACAGATGTTTGGAAGGTCTCATTATGGTTTCTCCTTTTGTCCCTCGTGTCCCGCAAGGTTGTTGGCTGAGTCATATTTGTTGAAGCATGAATGAAAGCCACACATCCGTGAAAACATGAATATTCTTTGACACATCCGATTTCTTTGTGGTATTGTTATGGTTTCCCCACGATTTTGGCTTCCTCTGGTCCCGACAGTGTCTCTCCAGTCCAGAAAAGAAAACACATGATATTTGTAAGTCAACCATCAAAAAGCCATCTTGGGTTCAGGCTCCACCGGTGTTGTCTCCAGGAAATCTGTCCAGAAACCAGACAAGATTGTCTTTTGAGAACATTACAGCACTTTTATGGCAGAGGAGCCTGACAGTGCTGTACTGAACTGTCCCTTTCAAGCCAGCACCAACACTTGAAAGTGCTGTGCCGTTGTTAAAGACCTAAAGGCAACAATCAATTCCGAAGAGACCTCCAAGAAGTGATCCCTCACAAATCTTGGAAACCAATTCTGTAGAGGCCTCCAGGGTATGCCTCCAGCATCGGTATGTTAGGGACAGCCCAGCACTCTTCAGGGTTGAGGAGCTGAAAGACCGGGTTGCGGAAAGTGCCGTACTGTCCCCAATGAATCGGTTCAGTCCAAACAAGCTAAGCCCGTCAAGAGACGAACAAGCTCGAAGAGGCAACTTCTTAAAGCAGATATATGCCAGTAAGTAAGTAAGTAAGTATGTATGTATGTAGGTAGGTAGGTAGGTAGCCGGGTAGGTATGTAGGTATGCATGTAATTGCGTGCGTATACAAATGACTATGTATATATATATATATGCTCTCTCTCTCTCTCTTTCTCTCTTTGTCTTTCCCTCTGCTCTCTCCCCTCAGTTCTTCGTTCGCTTGATTAAGGTTCAAGCCCGTCATGGTGGTCCCGGCTTCGTTTGGACTCCAGCCACGGGTGCTGGTAGGTAGTCATCGGAAGCACCGTGTGAGCAGAGAGCTTCAGCGGATTCGGGCTGGTGGTGGTGTTGGCAGAACACTTGTGACTGAGTCGCAGGAAAGCTCCTCACCACTTTGCTCCTTTGTCGGGATCGTCGTAGCTTGCCTGCTAACCTGCCTCACGTTGGCCCGATGTCCAGAGAAGACCCCATTAGTCCCTGCAAGGTCAAGCTCCCTGAGCCTCGTCAGCTGATGAATTATCCAAACTAAAGACTGCGGTGCCGCGTTTGCATGCCATCTGCCAAAAATACTAGAGAGAGCATGCTGCTGAAAGCAAACACGCTCCCCGGTTCAGTTTTACGTCATACTCACGGGGACGATCCATTCCGTTGCTGTCTCTGTAAGTTTTGGCTGAAGGGTTGAGCTCAGGCAGGTCCTGTCGTCTATTCAGACCACTGAAGAAACCAGCTTGTTTGAGTTTCTCGGCCGCTGCCCTGCTTTCGATTTGGAGTCAGCGTGGCTGTGCCGCAATCATTGTGACAAAGCTGCTACATGATTTTGAGAGCAGGGAATGAATAGACCGCAAGCACAACCACACAATCCTTACGCATGCAGGCAAGAGAGAAGTTGAGATTCTGAGACGAGAAGGTGTCAAGCGATTGGTGGGGTCATGGACAGCACTGAAAGTTTGCTTTGAAGGTAAAGAGTTTCAAGGTTGTCTTTAGTAGTTCGTCGCCGAAACGTGAGGCGTAATTTGTTTCCCAGCTGTGAAAGACGGCCTTGCCCAAATTCATTCTATGATATGATGCTCTTTGTCCTGCAAATTGGGGCCGCTGTGGCCAGGTGAAGACCATCCAGTACAAGCGTGTCACTGTTGAGATGGCCGAGAGCGGCCAGCCTGGGACCTAAGTGTAGCATCAACTGCATGCCCAGTTGCCATGTGCGTCCTCGCCAGGCACTGCAGCTTTGCGCTTCGCTCGCTCGTCAAGAGGGCGCGGCTTGGGGGGTTTGCAACTGCATGCAGTAGCTTTAAGTCAATTTGAGCCATGCCATTCCGAAGGGAACAGGCAAAACCTGATCTGTGGAGTGTTTTCAAGACTATCGAGTCAGCGCATGCTATCAATATGCTCCCACAGCATTGTTCCGCGTGCGAAGCAATCTCAGTAGATTCGGCCTTGGCAAAGTGTTGTGGTTGTGGTGGTGGTTGTGGTGGTGGTGGTGGTGGTGGTGGTGGTGGCGGCGGTGGCAGTGG